GACCCCAATTTTTATGGTATACAAGAGAATCTGATACTCCATCAAAATCACTATTTTTTTGTGATAGTCAATTTGGGCATAACAAAAGGCTTGGCTTGATTTGATTAACACCATAATAATAATAGCAATTCTATTAAATTAGCAGAGGGGTATATCGTAAAATAGATCTTTTAAATCCCAAAACCAGCATTAGGCAGGACATTTCACTTGCATTGCATGGTGTGTATGCGTGTAGCTACACATTTATCTAGGAATGTTTTTACAGATGTATGACTGGATGAAGATAATAATTCTGGGTCTTGGTTTAATGAAACTTCTTGGATTTGTAGCTTTGATATTTTTTGGTGGTAACTAGCCAGTATGATATTTTACCTGTAGTTTCACCTGAGAATCAGCTCTATTGATGATATTTTGCTTTTAATGATGACGGTAATGTTTAGTTTTGGCTTAGTATTGCTTCTTCTTGTTATATGCCCTTTTAGTTTTTCTGATTCAAATGGTATGCTAACTACCATTTCTTTTGAAATTATGTTTCACCATTCCTATATTCTTGTGGAAGACTAAAATGTAGCTTTAGACATTTAGATCCATTGGCTTTTTTTGCTATTTAATCATGTCATTGCAATATTCATTATATGTGTTGGGATGCAATTCGGTTTCTCATTTTTGTTAGATTTGGTTATGATTTTACTTTATATTTCAGTTTACATATTTATGTATTAGAATACTGGGTTGTTTTCCTTTCGAGTGTGCGAGGTAGTATATGAATGTTTTGTGTTACTTTATTCCTTAATATATCTGTTTAGCTTTTGTCTGGTNGGTTTATATGAATCCAATTTTTCCTTGCCAAAAAATTTATAACTCATTTTTATCAAGTGGTTGGCATGGCACAGTGCTAATCCTCTATTTTCAAGGCCTCCACATAGAGTTGGAATGCATATTTTCAAAGCCTCCTCGTTGATACTTTTCACGCTTCCCCACTTTTTATAGGCACTTTGATTGGGCATAGAACGATGCCTTAAGGCTTGTGTTGTATTTTGTCTTTTGATGTTTTCTCATGGTTTTCTTCGTTCAGCCTTTTCTTCCTATCTTTTTTATACTTCAATACTTGTTTATGGCTTTTTTTTTATGTTCTATTAGATTTTATGAATTATCTAAGAAAATTGATAAATTGAGATTTTTTTGTGTTTTTATTTGATCTACTATAATATTAAACATGTTATTTTGATAATAATTATTATCAGTATTTTTTTTTTATTTTCAATTATTCGATATGGTACCCACCCCCTGGCCAGTAATTTAATTTGAGAAAATTTATGCTTTTTGTATTGAATAATTCAAAATATGGGAACAAAGAAAATGAGGAGGGACATTTTTTTAGAAACTGTTTTCTCTAATTTGATTGTTATAATGTTGACAAAGATTTGTATATGTAAACACATGTTTAATGTTGTCAAGGCACATGAGCAATGGAATAGAGATGGATGCTAGTCTGTTATGTAAGTGTCTGTTTATTAAGCCAACGGCCCTCGAGAGGACAGATAACTTGTGTAGAAAAACAAAGCAGGAAGAAATAGAGAATTGGGCTGCTAGCCTATTAAGCTATAGCGATATGTTTTCAAATTTTTATTGTCATTCTTCTGTCTATAACCGAGGCACACATTAGTAGGATAGAGAAAGAGTGCGTTTATGATATTTTGTGGAAATCTCTGTTTAGAAGTCTTGAGTTATTAATGCTACAAGTTAGCCATTTGGAGAGACAAAAAGAGGACTTGGAGGGGAGAGTAGAAGACAGTGAGAGAGAAAGAGGAGAGTAGGGGGCACTCATTGGAGATTGGTGAAAATGAAAGTACAAGTAATATGGACACGAGCGAGAAATGGTGATTTGCTGTGGTGTGGCATGGGGGCAATCACCAGCACACATGAGGGCTTAAGACAGTGAAATCTAAAAACACGTAATATGTTGATCTGTGGATTGATAGATTCTAGAGTTTCTTCCAGTTATTCCGTGACTTGGGTATAGAAAATATCAAGCAACTTATTGTGGTTCATTGTTACTGCTTGATTAGACTTGGTACTGAGTTGAACAATCAAAACATAGGACATAAGATGATTTATTTAAGCCAAAGCATCATTGATTTGAAATTGGCTGGTTATATTTTGTGGGAAATGTTATTTGGATTTCCTTGAGCTTGAGCTTGAGCAGTATTTAGTTGAGCAGAACTTGAGCATATGATCTGGAAACTACGACAGGCCTGAGTTGAGAATCCAAATTCCGCAATATATTGACCCCAATTTTTATGGTATACAAGAGAATCTGATACTCCATCAAAATCACTATTTTTTTGTGATAGTCAACTTGGGCATAACAAAAGGCTTGGTTTGATTTGATTAACACCATAATAATAATAGCAATTCTATTAAATTAGCAGAGGGGTATATGGTAAAATAGATCTTTTAAATCCCAAAACCAGCATTAGGCAGGACATTTCACTTGCATTGCCTGGTGTGTATGCATGTAGCTACACATTTATCTAGGAATGTTTTTACAGATGTATGACTGGATGAAGATAATAATTCTGGGTCTTGGTTTAATGTAACTTCTTGGATTTGTAGCTTTGATATTTTTTGGTGGTAACTAGCCAGTATGATATTTTACCTGTAGTTTCACCTGAGAATCAGCTGTATTGATGATATTTTGCTTTTAAAGATGATGGTAATGTTTAGTTTTGGCTTAGTATTGCTTCTTCTTGTTATATGCCCTTTTAGTTTTTCTGATTCAAATGGTATGCTAACTACCATTTCTTTTGAAATTATGTTTCACCATTCCTATATTCTTGTGGAAGACTAAAATGTAGCTTTAGACATTTAGATCCATTGGCTTTTTTCTGCTATTTAATCATGTCATTGCAATATTCATTATATGTGTTGGGATGCAATTCGGTTTCTCATTTTTGTTAGATTTGGTTATGATTTTACTTTATATTTCAGTTTACATATTTATGTATTAGAATACTGGGTTGTTTTCCTTTCGAGTGTGCGAGGTAGTATATGAATGTTTTGTGTTACTTTATTCCTTAATATATCTGTTTAGCTTTTGTCTGGTTTGTTTGGGCATTGCTGTATGTTTTGATCTTTGTTCATTATCGTGTATATATCTATATCTGTCTATTTGGTCTTTGATATTGCCTCTTGTTGAAATGACATGTGAAGGATTTTTTCTAACGTACCAGTTATATTCATCGTGTTTTAGTTTGGAATGTGTAGATCTTGTAGATTTGATGAGCTCCTTTTGCCATTTATTGACTTAATAAATTTGACATTGGTACACTTATGGTTTAGTCTTGTTGTCTATACTTTTTTCATTTCTTACACATTTTCGAATTCTCTTGTACCTGGAATGTCGTGGACTTGTTCTTGATTAAAAATGGTGCTTAAGGCTCATCATTTAAGCATTAGGAGTTTTAACCCCTTACATTGTGCCTAGTGTGCTCTGAAGTTGGAAGTGGTTGTTTGTTTGACTACATCTTGGTAATAAGTAGATGCTTATATATTATTGTTATCCTTTGCACTGTATTTTTACAGGTCATTTATTGCACTTGCTTGAGTTGGAGCGCTGATGGAAGCACATTGTTCAGTGGGTATACAGATGGTGTCGTCCGAGTTTGGGGAGTTGGGCGTTAGTGACTTAGTCGTCAAGCAAGTTCCAAATGCACCTGCCTGCCTTCTTATAATAGAGATAGTCTAAGTGACTTGACTTAGGCTTTTGTGTGAAATGTTGGAAATGATATTTGGATTTCTTTATATTTATGTTTGATGGTTTGGGGCCCATACACACGGCTTCAATTTTGAATATTTTGGTAGTTGCTACAAGTGTTTTTTGATCACCAGTTTAAGCTGTTTTTCTTATTTTGCCATTTCTTGCTTAGGATTTTTTATCTATAAGAATATATAAGGGACTGATTGCTATATCAGTGGACGTTCTTTTGATTGCTAGGCATAATAATCAATAAATAAATAAAACCTCGACTGACATCCATTATTTTTTGCATGAAAATCATAATCATAATAGACAAAACAATAACCCACAAGAAAGTGTTTGGTTTCCTTTTTGTCTAAAACCTTTGGCTACGTTGAAGTTTGAATAAAAAAACCCATGTGTTGTATTTTGGTTAAAGTACTTGCCTGGAGTGGAGCCAATAATAGGTTCAGATCCGAGAGGCAAATCAGTTTAGTTCAGAATTTTCCACATTAATTTCCCTAACTGATTTCTCCTATGCATGACAGATGAAAAAGTTGACATTGCGTTTGGTTGGTCAGAATGAAACATGAGAATTGAATGACTATTATTTAGTAATACTAATACTAATTATCATGGAATATTTAATCCCACTAATTTATGATTTATCATTCTAATATTTTATGGTATTTTTCATCCACCACTACTAGCACCACCACTTCCACCCAGGGTCCGCGTCGGGGTCTGGTCGTCTGGGGTTGGATTTTGGTCCAAAGTCTAGGGTTGGATTTGGGTCTGTGGTCAAGTCTCCGTTTGCAGTCCGGAGTTGAATTTGAGTTTTGGTCAAGGGAGTATCTAAATATTTAAGTAAATTTTTAATTTTATTCCCACACTTTATCGTAGTTGTTATAATGATAATGTACATTCTATTCTATTCTATTGTTATGTCTATTCCATTCTAACCTTCATTTTGTTCACATGTAAAAACATTTACACCATGCATTGGGATGAGGGTCAATCAAGTCGAGTTGAGCACAGAAAATAAAGGCTACTCTTGCTCAATAACAAAATTGAGAGACTGCTTCTACTTCTGTAAGCCCAACACCTCTATTGAGTAATGCCTAAGTCGTAGGATCAAGGTCTAACCCAAATTGAGCATTTTGAGCCATTGACTGGAGCTTATTGATTCCATCGCGGTAGATGTTTAATGTTTTACAACACAAAGAAAACCTAAAAGAGAAAGAGAGAGTGTCATCTGTGCTCAATCCTTGCTTCGAAGAAGTAATTTCTTGAACCAATAGGCAGACATCTTTGGGTACCTCTTAAGGGTTTTAAAATCGACATAAACAATGCCAAATCTCGAAGTGTAGCCTAATCTCCATTCGAAGTTGTCAAGCAATGACCACGCAAAGTAGCCGATCACATTGGCACCCTCATCGATTGTCTTCTTGAGTTCAACCAGGTAGCCCGTGTAGTAGTTGATCCTTGTGGTGTCATGCAAACCTTTAGGAAGGGTGATGTTACCTGGATCATCCATTCCTGAAAAATATTTTTAGTTGATAGAAAATTTAGTCCTCTACACCTCTTCTAAGAATGTCTACCAAATCAATGAAAACTCATCTAACAATGTTACAGCAGAGACTGCATGTTTAAAAATTACAGAAGACTCACCATTTTCAGCCAAAATCACGGTAGGGTTTCCATAATGTTCTTTTATGTAGGTCACTGCTTTGTACAGACCCCATGGTACATTGTAAAGCCAGTAAGAATATGCCTGCAGATACTTAAGTCATCAGCAAATAATGATAGCTCTAAGTGCTATTCATGACAGGAACAAAAGGGTTAAAAGCATGTTATCGGGGATTTTGCTTCATTTTTTCCACATTGGCATTCATGCAGATTTGATAGAAATTACCCTTGGGCCAATCGGCTTGCCTTTACGTTCATCTGCAAAGTTCACAGGCGAAGGAAAAGGCAACAAAGTTCAGAAACAAATGGACTGATCTAAACATTAAAAATACCAAATTTTGCTTTTTTAAGAAGGGAATAGGAAAGAATGATATCATACAGGCAAATCCACAATTCCAATCCTGCTGGTAGCCCAGAGCTTTTGGCTTGGCTTGATGTGGATCATACATGTAGTAAGCAGTATACTGGTTTATACCCACATAATCAAAGGAGCCCTTTACCATCTTGACCTCTTCTGTTGTGAACTTTGGTAGCCGATCTCCTACAATGTCTTGCATTGTTCTTGGGTACTCACCATAAACAAGGGGATGCAGAAACCTATGCAGAACACCAAAAGCATGTTTTTATATTCTTCAAGTTCTGAAATGAGTCCTCAGTTATCTTGTATTTCTAAATGAATCCGAGACCCAAAATCTCGAGTTCACCATTGCAAAACATGGTTGTATTGATAGCTATATGCATCTACCTCAACAGGTTTTCGACTTTAAATGTGTATAGCTTCTTACCATCCAACATGAAAGTCTCGTGCTCTTTGAGCTGCATAATTGTCAGCCTTTGATCTTGTAAGAGGTTCATACCAAACAAAATCCAAAAGAATGCCAATTCTTCCTTTCTGCTTTTCCTGCAGTTTACACGTGCTCTCGCATTCAATCTCCTAAAATGGATTGAGCTACCGATGCAAAAGATCATGTGGAGACTTAAAAAAATATGAAATGTGAATCTTACTTGGTACTTTCCTTTGTATCGTTGAACTGCAGCTGCATGACATAGAATCAGATTATGTGCCACAATGTAAGGCTCTGTCGCAGAATTTCCAGCTGTGCAGTTTCCATACGCTTTAGAGCACCTTCCGGGGGCAAAGAAACCATTATCATAACCAAGAGCAGCTACCACCCTAGGTTCATTAAAAGTCATCCAATTCTTCACTCTGTCTCCAAATGTCTTGAAACAAAATTCAGCATAATCAGCAAAATCTTTCCTGCAGAGTTTAAATCATTCATCAAGATTATTCCACTGATATAACTGTCAAATTAGATGGAATTAATGGACTAAAGTTCGTTTATTGATACTTACACTACTTCATGGTCTAACCATCCATTGTACCTCTGCTGAAGTGCTAGAGGAAGATCGTAGTGATTGAGATTAGCATAGGGGATAATGCCTGTAAAACATTATGAAAATTGGTGTTTGAATGGAGTTTAGTAAAGAAGTTTGGAAGGTAGTGAAGATAAGGTAAAACAATAAAAAAGATATACGTGATTCATTCNTGGGTCAAGGGAGTATCTAAATATTTAAGTAAATTTTTAATTTTATTCCCACACTTTATCGTAGTTGTTATAATGATAATGTACATTCTATTCTATTCTATTGTTATGTCTATTCCATTCTAACCTTCATTTTGTTCACATGTAAAAACATTTACACCATGCATTGGGATGAGGGTCAATCAAGTCGAGTTGAGCACAGAAAATAAAGGCTACTCTTGCTCAATAACAAAATTGAGAGACTGCTTCTACTTCTGTAAGCCCAACACCTCTATTGAGTAATGCCTAAGTCGTAGGATCAAGGTCTAACCCAAATTGAGCATTTTGAGCCATTGACTGGAGCTTATTGATTCCATCGCGGTAGATGTTTAATGTTTTACAACACAAAGAAAACCTAAAAGAGAAAGAGAGAGTGTCATCTGTGCTCAATCCTTGCTTCGAAGAAGTAATTTCTTGAACCAATAGGCAGACATCTTTGGGTACCTCTTAAGGGTTTTAAAATCGACATAAACAATGCCAAATCTCGAAGTGTAGCCTAATCTCCATTCGAAGTTGTCAAGCAATGACCACGCAAAGTAGCCGATCACATTGGCACCCTCATCGATTGTCTTCTTGAGTTCAACCAGGTAGCCCGTGTAGTAGTTGATCCTTGTGGTGTCATGCAAACCCTTAGGAAGGGTGATGTTACCTGGATCATCCATTCCTGAAAAATATTTTTAGTTGATAGAAAATTTAGTCCTCTACACCTCTTCTAAGAATGTCTACCAAATCAATGAAAACTCATCTAACAATGTTACAGCAGAGACTGCATGTTTAAAAATTACAGAAGACTCACCATTTTCAGCCAAAATCACGGTAGGGTTTCCATAATGTTCTTTTATGTAGGTCACTGCTTTGTACAGACCCCATGGTACATTGTAAAGCCAGTAAGAATATGCCTGCAGATACTTAAGTCATCAGCAAATAATGATAGCTCTAAGTGCTATTCATGACAGGAACAAAAGGGTTAAAAGCATGTTATCGGGGATTTTGCTTCATTTTTTCCACATTGGCATTCATGCAGATTTGATAGAAATTACCCTTGGGCCAATCGGCTTGCCTTTACGTTCATCTGCAAAGTTCACAGGCGAAGGAAAAGGCAACAAAGTTCAGAAACAAATGGACTGATCTAAACATTAAAAATACCAAATTTTGCTTTTTTAAGAAGGGAATAGGAAAGAATGATATCATACAGGCAAATCCACAATTCCAATCCTGCTGGTAGCCCAGAGCTTTTGGCTTGGCTTGATGTGGATCATACATGTAGTAAGCAGTATACTGGTTTATACCCACATAATCAAAGGAGCCCTTTACCATCTTGACCTCTTCTGTTGTGAACTTTGGTAGCCGATCTCCTACAATGTCTTGCATTGTTCTTGGGTACTCACCATAAACAAGGGGATGCAGAAACCTATGCAGAACACCAAAAGCATGTTTTTATATTCTTCAAGTTCTGAAATGAGTCCTCAGTTATCTTGTATTTCTAAATGAATCCGAGACCCAAAATCTCGAGTTCACCATTGCAAAACATGGTTGTATTGATAGCTATATGCATCTACCTCAACAGGTTTTCGACTTTAAATGTGTATAGCTTCTTACCATCCAACATGAAAGTCTCGTGCTCTTTGAGCTGCATAATTGTCAGCCTTTGATCTTGTAAGAGGTTCATACCAAACAAAATCCAAAAGAATGCCAATTCTTCCTTTCTGCTTTTCCTGCAGTTTACACGTGCTCTCGCATTCAATCTCCTAAAATGGATTGAGCTACCGATGCAAAAGATCATGTGGAGACTTAAAAAAATATGAAATGTGAATCTTACTTGGTACTTTCCTTTGTATCGTTGAACTGCAGCTGCATGACATAGAATCAGATTATGTGCCACAATGTAAGGCTCTGTCGCAGAATTTCCAGCTGTGCAGTTTCCATACGCTTTAGAGCACCTTCCGGGGGCAAAGAAACCATTATCATAACCAAGAGCAGCTACCACCCTAGGTTCATTAAAAGTCATCCAATTCTTCACTCTGTCTCCAAATGTCTTGAAACAAAATTCAGCATAATCAGCAAAATCTTTCCTGCAGAGTTTAAATCATTCATCAAGATTATTCCACTGATATAACTGTCAAATTAGATGGAATTAATGGACTAAAGTTCGTTTATTGATACTTACACTACTTCATGGTCTAACCATCCATTGTACCTCTGCTGAAGTGCTAGAGGAAGATCGTAGTGATTGAGATTAGCATAGGGGATAATGCCTGTAAAACATTATGAAAATTGGTGTTTGAATGGAGTTTAGTAAAGAAGTTTGGAAGGTAGTGAAGATAAGGTAAAACAATAAAAAAGATATACGTGATTCATTCAGCACATTATGTCTACATCCATGGATTATATGCTCATTATTCTTTGGTGGTTGAATATATAGAATTCAATCATTCTTATAAGCTGAAGAAATGCATAAGATGAATATAAAACGTATCACATATGCTTATCATCCTTTATGATGATCAGGACAATGCGGATATTGATAGATCGCATCACATCTCGAATATTTGTATCTTTGTCCCTTCTTTTCAGAGCATGGGGTGCTCTATGAGTACGGTCTAAACTAGTTGAAAGATAGTTACCTCTTTTGAGCATGTAGTTGATCAACCTGTTATAGTAAGCAACCCCCTTCCAATTTACTTTTCCAGTTCCATCTACAGACAATTCCCTGAATATTTTAGTATGTGTGTGGAAACGAAGAGACGAATTTTTAGAACTGATCAAAAGAATAATGGTCAAATTACTTGGGAATATCCTAGACCATGAGATCGAGAACCGGTAGGCATCAAAATTCAGCTTTGCCATGAGATCAATATCCTCCTGCACCCATAACAGAGAAGCATTGGTTCATAATGTCTGCCAATTACAAGACATCAAAACATACATATCTAACTGTTCCAATCAGAGCTGCCAAAAATCAATCAATTCAAATCCAACCTAATTGTCTAGGACAAGATTAGGAATTTCCCTACAAACTAGATAATTTTCAACAATCCTTTCAGAAAATCTAATAAGCAAAATAAAAAGCAGCCCGGTACATGAGATTCTCGCCATTTCTGAATGTTTACCCATAAAATCATCCCAACTTGTTCTTTTTTTAATTGACCCCACCCCACCACAGCAAGAGCCCTATTGTTTCTTATTCTTCAGCAGTCTCAATCAGATAATTGATGCTGACCCAGTCACGGGCCTTATTCATGCAATGTTATGTTTATTTATTTATTGAATTTGATGGCAAAATAATCTATTGAACAAAGAATGGTGTTATCTTCAGCCTTTTAAACAAGTTTCACTGTTTCAGACACCGTATCTATGGCTCCGGATCCTCTGCTGTAACAGCAGAGGTGCTGTCAAGCAAAACGACAGGTTTTGTGCTGTAAGTTGTTTGAGGCTCTCATATTATCCCCTCAATTATTCAAATTTATATATATATATATATATATTAAATTACGTCAAAATTAAACATACGTCATGTTTTGGACAGAAAAGTCTGTATGTGTAATACCTTATACCGGTGATACTGGTCCACCGACACCTCTCCCGTGGCATTGTTGGGTTCACGTCCTATCTCCAAATATAAGAATAGAATAAATTCATTACAATTTATATATATAAACATCAAAGTCATACACAAACGTACATTAAACTTGTATAAATATACTAATGGCGGTGATTTTACTGTACCAGGTGCTTTAATGAAGGCGTCCCAAATGCTGGGTCCTCGGCCGTCCTTGTCAGCCATGCCTTCAACTTGGTAAGCAGAAGTGGCCGTTCCAAAGGAAAATCCTTTCGGAAAGCTACCACGGCTTAGCCCTCCGGTGTCGAAACGGACGCTCTCCGGCGACACTTTTAGGTCCTCCTCATTGTACTCGGTTGCGTGGGTGACATACTGAATTGCAGTAAAAGTAAGCAGCAACAACAGCAATGGGGTTCTCATCTTCACTTCACTCTGAGTGAGAGTGAGAGAGAGAGAGAGAGAGAGAGAGAGACTGTATGAGATAAGTTTGGTGGAACGAGTGAGCTGTGAGCCCCTCTATTTATGGACAAAAATCCCTGGAAATAATTGGATAGACAAAAGAAATTATGTGTTGTGACGTCGCAGTGTCATTGACCACGGAGCTGCACTGGCTTTGGATAGAGAACAATGGGGCCATCAATCAACAGACTGCCCATGAGGCCATGAGTTTTTTTGATCAAAGACCTGCACATGTAATAAAACTTGAGTAATACTATATAGATTTAAAAACTTGATAATTTTAAGAATTAAATAGTGAGTGAGTCTCAATAAATATTAAAATTTATAGTAAAATCAATGGTTATAATTTTCAAGTCTGATTTTTAAATCTAATTTTTAAGTCCACGTAACATTACTAATAAAACTTTGTATTTATAGCACCCATATTAACCCTACTCTTAAAATTGTTGTGAAAATTAAATAAAAAATATTATAAAATAGAAAATAAAATAAATAAGGGGAAAAAAATTATCAGTAAAAATGTACAATCATTTCCTTAAGAAGTAATGCTAGATGGACTTAAAAAATAGACTAGATAATCTCAACTATTGAATATATAGTGAATCCTAATAAATGCTGGGACCTACAGTGAAAATAATAGTTGAGATGATCAAATCTAATTTTTAAGTCTACTTTATAAGTCCATGTATCATTTCTCTTTCCCTAAGTGTAGATTTGTGTTGCTCTAAATACAAAATTCGAAGCAATAGATTACGACTTACAAAACATATTACTAAGATTGGATTGCAACAATATCCGTATCAATTGTTGAAAAGATTCACAAAAAATCACTATTCAAAACTCATTGTATAACTCTTTAATTTTATTTATTTATTAGGAATAATTCGTATTTAAAAGTATGGTACAATATAAATCAATACAAATGATTTTAAAAATAATATTTATAATTGTTGAATGAATCTATTTAAAACCATCAAATAAATTTATTAAAATCTGTCCTAAATGACACAACACGGTCTACCCTAAAATAGCAGTAGCCGTTGGAACGACACAATAGTAGAATTACAACTTTTAATAGGCCGTGAAGTGAGGCATTTGTTTGCAACTGGTGGGTGACCAATGAATAGTCATTACCATCGTCACCATTGCTATGTGAGGTTCATCTCACATATTAATATTATAACAACAATGCTATATTCATTAAAATTTTTATTAAATTTTTTATACTAAATTAATGTGATTCATAAGATCAATAGAGTCCACAAATTTTCACTAACTATCCAGTGATTGTCAATCTGTCACATCATTTGAAACTTATAATTTAGTAAAAGAGTTGATAAACATAACATTTTTTACGTTATAATATGATATTTATAAGCAAACAGACACCAAATGAAAGGAGTGCATGTCCCATGTTTTGGAAGACGTTTAAAATTTGAATTCCACTTAGTTTTTGACACCCATTGTACAAAAAAAATATTAGTCGTAATGATGACATTACGTCATTTAATTATAAACTTACAAATAAAAAAAATGAACCCTTATTTAAATAATTATTAAATGATATGACAGAATAGTTACTAAAATATATAGGATCTACCTGTCCACATATTATCTTATTATTTGACAGTTACACCATATAAGTATAATAACATAGTGTCATGTCAGTATAATGATATAATATAACGGTTACACCCAATATTTTTTCCCGTTGTTGTACAAATCGGCACATTTACAGTTATGAAAATAACCGACTCTAGCTTTAAGTTTTATTCCAAAGCAATCCAAATATATACACAAACAAACACATAAATATATATTCAAATATATATATATATATATATACACATATATATATATATTTGGTATTTTGAAATAAACTTAATAAATTACAACATTGTTTTATATTTATACTACTAATAAAAGTACCTTTTATGAAAATTTTTTGATTCACTATTTTACCCTCATAAAAAAATATAAAGACTAACATGTCCTGTATTTAAATATTAGTTATTGTCTGTACCTAAAGGCACAGAGTAATAAAAAATAATAAAACTTAAAACTAAGAGACGAGGATGGTTGTGATGGGTGACAATGACCGTGGTGGCTGTGGCGGTGGTGGCAGTGGTGGTGGTAGGGGTGGCGATGGGGGCGGTGGTGGTGGCAGCGACGACGATGATGATGGTGGTGGTGATGGTGGCGGCGGTGACGATGACGGTGGCGGTGGCGGTGGCGGTGGTGGGGTAGTTTGAAACAAATTTTTTTTTTTAAAGTATTTATAAAAAATAATTTTTAAAAATAATTTTAAAAAATTACTCTAAATACATCCTTAGGGCTATATTTTTTCTATTAAATTTAGGGTGTTAATTTTAGCCGTTAGATTAATTTTAAAGTAAAATTTAAAGCGATTTCAATCGCAAGCAATAAAAGTCATTTTGTTTATCTTTCAAGATTTTAATTGTAAGCTACTTTATTATATAGATATAGATTACCATTATATCACTCTATACTTAAATAACAAATTAACATCTAGCATATCATGTAAATCTCAATATACACAAAATTTTTAGATGGTCATGTTACTCTTGACAAGATATATATAAAAAAATTAATTTTTTCTTCTAAAACCCCAATATTAATACACACCGACAACTTTATTTATATAATATTATCTTGTGTGCTAAAAAATTAATGTATGTATCTTTTTCTTATTGTCCACAATATAAACAATTTAAATATGATAAAAACGAGATAGTATATAATTTAGTATATAATTAAATTTTGAGTTAAAAACAATTTTAATCTTTAAAGTATGTATTTTTTTGTCAATTTAGTCTTTATTGTATCAATTTAATTTTTAAAATATTCAATTTGTGTAATTTTTGTCTCTAATTAGACAATCCGTTAAATTTTTTGACAGAAGTGACCACGTGTCATTTTTTAAATGATATATTGTGTCAAACACATGATCATTCCGTCAAAAACTTAACGGTCTATCTATATATGGACAAAAATGACATGAATTAAATATTTTAGTGATCAAATTGACAAAATTAAAATAATGAGGACTAAACTAAATATATATATATATATATATATATTTATATTTATATATAACATATCAAAAGAGTTATTAACACTTAAATTTTTATGTATTCTATTAAATATTCTAACGAAAATTTTTACATTGCTAGTCCGATAAAAAGTGTACAATATTTGCTAAAAAGACATTGTCACACAAAAGAGGCAGTTGATGATTTTTCATGGCTGTTATGAGGGTTAAATTTCACTCGATTTTTTGTGTAGACAACCAACATTGAGTTTCAATCAAACTCAAACAATCGCTCATAGAAGCACTCCATCGAACAAAATGTGGGCAATAATCAAAACACAGTAGGTACACAAGATTACAGACCAAACAATCAAAGCTTTTTACTTTTTGACAAGTTTAAAAGATTATGGTTAGGAGTTTGCTTACAAAACGTGTTCAAACTCACTTAGTTCACTATAGATCCTAGTGTGTGCACATGCTAACAACTGCAAAGAGCAACCTTACTTGAGATGCACATGCCAGTAACTGTTCATAACCGTCTCACATGACGTGCAACATAACTTCTTTGTGAGTCCACAATACCTAATTTGTCTTGTCTATGTGTCAAGTCATGCCTAACCCATGACTTGGTCTTTCAAACTTGCAATTCACCAGAATTAGAACCCACTGACTAGTCATGTTTTCTTGTGCTCAACGAGCCAATGCATGTGCTGTCTTCCTCAACCATGCACGAGGCTTTTACCAACAACAGGTCTCATTGAACGTCGGCCCCACATCTCAAGTTTTCGAGTTTGAAATGGCTTGCCCACACCTATAACAAACATTTTGTTGTTGGGGGCGTGCCTTTCTTTAGTGTGCCAAGACTAAGGGGGATATAGGTCCTTAGGGAAGCTAGCCTGATACACCTTCGCGGAACACCCTCTTATAATAGTGTTAGTGAGCAAACCTCTAGAGACAACAACATATATCTTCTGAACCAAGGGGTTATAACGATGAGTGCCTAGGGTATAGTTGTCACATGCCACTCAAATTTTTGTTAAACACCTTTGATATCAAACTAATTACCCAACCAAGTCTTTAGGAAACCAACTTTGTACAAAAAAGTTGCTTGGCCAAACACACCTCCACTTTAGCTAAAGCAAGTGGCAACTTTGGGCGAGACACCCACATGCCATAATCATTTCAACTAACTATAGGGGTAACCAAAAAAAAATACCACACAAAGGGCATGAATACATGAAATTAGTACAATTTTGTGGTCGATTGTCATTCATTTGACTTTCGAGACATGTAATATGTCCCTCAAAGTCATACTTTAACTTTCAAAAAAATTATTTGTAAACTACCATAGTCTTCTTATCCTAGAAAAACGATGAAGTTTTATGGTGTAGTGTTTGAATTGAGGGGTAAGCCTTTGTCTTCATTCCCATGCAGTTGCATGTAAGTGGGCAGGGATGACCAACAACTGACAGTCCGGCCATCAACCGTCAGTCGAGCCATGTGAATACAAATTTGGCGCAAGCTTAACAAATCCTATCCATAATTGTCATGTCACTCATCACCCATCGGTCTTCAGAGGAAATGAATGCTTATGGAATATGGATGGCTATGTGGAAAAGACTGACATACTTTTAGTTATACTTTATATAGTAACAAGTTGTATACCACACGGGCTTCGCTACATTACCAAAAATGTTTTTGTAAGACATAGATTTTATTTTGATTTGTTTATAATTATTAATTGTAAAAATAATAACATAAAATAATCAAAGCACTCATTCATAAGTCAAAATAAAAATACAACAATCAATCGAAATAATTTATCCTAAAATATAATTTATTACAATCAATCATTAAATTAAAAAATTAAACTATTGAGAAAGCAAAATTAAAAATCTAATTATCAAGA